ATCTGTGTAAATTATTCTATTTTAGTTAATGCCTCCTCCATTTCTGACTGCTCCTTTTGTATGCTCCTGAGGCCCTCAGTAAGTTCATTTAAGTTCTAAGTTCATTGAGCATCCTTATAGGCAGTGTTTTGAACTCTGCATTTGTTAGGTTTCTTATCTCCATTTAATTTAGTTCTTTTCCTGGAGTTTTGTTCTGTTCTTTCATTTGGGACCTGTTTCTTTGTCTCCTCATTTTGGCTGCCTCCTGTGTTTGTTTCTGTGTATTACTTAATGAAAAGTATGGGGCTAGCTGAGACCAGACGCTGCTTATTTGAAAGAATTTAGGAAAACCTGAAGCAGGATCCAAGACAGGCCAATCCTATGGTAAAGCAACTGGCAACAGCTTGGGTGGGCCTGAAAGATGGGTGGGCCAGGTTGCTGGAATCCCAGATATGGCGGCTGTCTGCCGCCCCAGGGAAGGGCTTACCAAAGGAACCAAGACCTCCGGCAGCACATGTGTCTAGGAGAAACCTGCCTCTCCAGCCCTTGTTCCAGTGCCAAACAACTCAGTTCTTCCCCATGTCTCTGGTGCCTTTCAAGCTGCCTCCCCCATGCTGGAGCCATGTGCGGGCCCTTTAAGAGGAGCTGCCTGGGGACTCCCGCAGCTGCAGCCTCCCTCAGACTCAGTCCCCACTAGTTTTACAGCCAGAAGTGATGGAGATTATCTTCCTGGCACTGGAACCCCTCAGTCCTCAGGGAGGTCCTTTCCAGCCGAAGTATCCCTCCTGATTTTTATCCACAACACATGGGTGTGAGATCAGCCCATCCTCCTACCAGTCTCAATGCGGCTTCTTTAATTCCATAATTGTAGGACTTCCATTCAGGTTGATTTTAGGTGGTTCTAAATGATGATTATTCTGTAGTTTAGTTGTAACTTTAATGTGGTTGTGGGAGGATGCAATACTGTGTTTACCTACATTGCCATCTTGACTGGAAGTCGTGAATGGATATTTCTTCAAAGAAAACATACAAATGGCCAAAAAACACATGAGTAAATACTCAACATCATTTGTCATTAGGAAAATGCAAGTCAAAACCACAACGAGATACCACTTCAAACCTACCTGTCTGTAAACAACACAGCAGGAAATGAAGTATTGGCGAGGACATGAAGCAGCTGCGGCCTCCTCCAGTGCTGACTGGGGCACATGTGGCTGCTGGAAGGAAGTCTGAGCACTCCTCAGATGGTTCAGCACGGAGTTCACACACAACCAATCACTCACGCCCCCAGGCACACACCTTGGGGGAATTAGAAACATGTTCGTTCACACAGAAACTTAGGAGAAAGTTCATAGCAGCATTATTAATGACAGATTAAAAGTGGAAACAACCCAAACATTCACTTACATTTGAAGAATAAATTATCAATAGATAAATGAGTAAAGAAAGTGGGGTGTATACATACAATAGAATATTACTCAACTTTAAAGAGGAGTAATATTTGACACATGCTACAATGTAGATGAACCTTGAAAACATGCTCTGTGAAAGAAGCCAGACACAAAGGTCACATACTGTATGATTCCATTTATATGAAATATCCAAAACAGGCAAGTCCACAGACAGAAAGTGTAGTACTGACTGCCAGGGGATAGGGACAGGGGAACTGATACTGACTGCTAATGGCTTGGGCTTCCTTTTCTGAAGCAACAGAAATGTTCTGGAATCAGTGCTATTAGGTGCACAAACAAGTGGGCAGGACACTTTGAAATGGTTAAAATGGTGAATTTTATCTCAATTGAAAAAACCTAATTACAAGAAAAAGCGCGGTTTATTATACTGGGTAAAGAAACAACAATTTCGCCCTGGCCGGTTTGGCTCAGCGGTTAGAGCGTCAGCCTGCGGTCCACAGAGACCTGGGTTCGGTTCCCGCTAAGGGCATGTACCTTGGCTGCAGTTTGTCCCCGGCCCTGGTTGGGTCGTGTGGGTGGTGGCCACTCGATGTGTCCCTTTCACATTGATGTTTCTCTCTCTTCCTCTCTCTCCTTCCCGCTGAGTAAAAAATGGAAAAATGTCCTCGGGTGAGGATAAAAAACAAAACAAAACAAACAAACAAACAAAAAAAGAAACAACTATTTCAATAAACAGTGGTAGAGAGCAAAGATGCTATGAGAGCATTTTAAAAAGACTGGCAAACTGCCCTGGCCAGTTTCGCTCAGTGGTTAGATTGTAGGCCCATGGATCTACGAGTCGCGGGTTGGATTCCGGTCAAGGGCATGTACCTTGGTTGTGGTTTGATCCCCAGCCCTGGCTGAGGTGCTCCAGGAGGCAACCAATCAGTGTGTCTCTCTCACATAGATGTTTCTCTCCCTCCCTCCCTCCCTCCCTCCCTCCAACTCAGTCTGAAAATCAATGGAAAAATATCCTTGGGTGAGGACTGGCAAACTATACATTTTAATTATTTTTCTTTCTTTTTTTTTTAATCCTCACTCAAGGGTATTTTTCCATTGCTTTTTATATAAAGTGGAAGGGAGAGAGGAAGAGGGAGAGGGGAGAGAGAGAAACATCAATGTGAGAGAAACACATCAACTGGTTGCCTCCTGCATGACTCCCACCAGGGTGGAGGATCAAACCTACAACCCAGGTTCGTGCCCCTGACCGAGAATCACACCTGTGACCCTTTGGTCTGTGGGCTGACACTCTAACCACTGAGCGAAACTGGCCAGGGCCATTTTAATTATTTTTAGGTAGTTCTGTGGCATTAAATACATTCATATTGATGTGCAACCATCCTCACCATCCATTTTCAGAACTTTTCTCACCTCACAAAACTGAAACTACCCATTAAATAATGTCTCACTGCCCCTCCCTGGTCCTGGCAAGCACTGCTCTTTGTCCCCACGAGTCTGACCAGACACCTGGTCCCAGTGGAACCACACAATGCCTGTGCTTGTGACCGGCTTCCTTCACCAGCACAATGTCCTCGAGGGTCACGTGCTGTGGCCTGGGCAGGATTCTCCTCCTTTCTAAGGCTGAGTAACAATCCCCGCTGCAGACTTTCTTTACCCATTCACCCACCAGCGGACACTCGGGCTGCTCCCCCCTCCGGTGGCTGTGAACGATGCAGCTGCCGACCTGGGCTTGCAGACAGCGGTGTCCCTGCTTACAAATAAAACAGTTGCAATCTGTTACTGCAGGGAGGTTTTGAAGGAAGTTTGTTAAAAATTAAACTTTTTGAAAACACACACACATTTTGCATTAGCTTAAAAATTGGCTATTTATTTTAGTTGAAAGCTACCCAAAAGAGAACTGAAAGATCAATGACATTATTTACTTTATTATCATTTTTAATTATTTATTTTCAGATAAAGCAATGGCATTATTTACCTTATTATTATTTTTTAATTAATTAATTTTATTTATTTATTTTTGCATTTATCTTCAGGGAGGGAGAGAGGGAGAAAGGGGGGGGGGAGAAATATCAATGTGAGAGAGACACATTGAGTGGTTGCCACTCACATGACCTCAACCAGGGCCGGAGACAAACTGCAAATGAGGTACAAGCCCTTAGTGGGAACTGAATCTGGGACTCTCCGGTCTGAGGGTCCACGTTCTAACCGCTGAGACATTATTTACTTTAAAAGAAATACAAAAGACATAAAAGTATCCATTGCAAATTTATTATGCATTAGGAAGCTTAACTTATAAACCAACAGCATAGTAAAAAGATATGTCATTTCTGTTCATAGCAGAACAAGTTTCAAAATATATTTTCTTTTACATGTATTCAGTCAGTACATAATCCTTTACAAAAGTTATATATATTTTTTCTGTCAACACCTTCATTACATTTATAAATACAAGATTTACACAGTACTCCATCAAAAAGAAATTAAAATCCCTTAAAAATATCTACATATATTTCATACCTATAAAACTTTCAAAGGAGTGCTTTGTTAAAAGTAGGCCCTAGTGAATGGTTCATTTCCTGGTGCAGCAACGTGCATGTAAATCTGTCAAGTTTTCCTTGTCTGCAAAACATCTCGAAAAATCAGCAAGACACTTATGTGAAACTGAGCTTTCTAAAACACTATATTTTAGAAAGGAATTTGATGTGCATATTCCCACGAGATTTAAGAATCAGACAAAGATGTGGAAATAGAGGCCTAATGCAAACAAATGCATGCTACACAGAGCAGTCACGGCAGGAGTGTGATGAATGAGAAAAACTGAGGAGGACACAGATGTGGGAAGAGCAGACAGTAATGCTCTACTTGAGTCTGAACTTGGATACAAACTCCACTGGCATCCAGTTACTAACTCGCATCCTTACTTGGGAATGTTTACAATGTTGAACACTTTCGTAGAAGCACCCTCTAATTTCTATTGCTACCAAAATGTTTGATGTTTTCTTCTGTAAAATCACTTTGGATCTGACCAATATACTAGGTTGAGGAATATGAATTGCTATTTCTTCATGATATAAATTTATAAGAAAAATTTTCTTCACTGGTAAAGGATATCACTGATCAGTATTATTACTATTCAGAGGTGTATCTGCTGAATTTCATTCTAGCTGAGAATATTAAGTAAAAGACAAGGAAAGGAGAGTAAGACTAGGTTTTGTTTGTCCTTGAACAAAGGCAATAGATCCCTGATACTGAGTGACTCTTGGAGCAGCCACTCATAAACACTATGGGCTAAGCGGGCACTTTTCAGAGAAACAGGAAGGAGGAATATAACAAGGGATTCTTTACCTTAAATCTGGCCAGAGATGGCAGTTGCACCACAATCCTGCATCTTCTACTGAAAAGGACATGGGGAACTGCTGTCACTCTTATTCCAGAGGTAATAAAGGAAAGCCATCCTTTCTCACAGATGTGACTTTTTCTATTTGAATTTCAAAGTCTGGACTTCAGATAACTTTGACAATTGCATACTATGTGCAGCAACGTATTTCAAATCTTAACTTGTTTTAATGTACAAACAGAAGAAAAGGAATGGAAGAAAAGGAACAGGAGGAGGAAGAGAAGGGAGGCAGAGGGTTACTTATCAAACTTGGCCCTAAAGGATGCCACTAGCATCTCCGCTCCAGCACCATAAAGTCTCCATGTGGGGTGGCTCCCAACAACTGCAGACAGACGGCGTCTGCAGAATCTCCCTTTCTGCAGTTTATAGCTCAGTGCACTGACTCCCAGGCTCCTCGAAGGAAGAGAGCTCCCAGATGCTGCTGTCTTGCAGCAGTGGCTCAATGTCTTCATCGTTGCCTCTTTCTGGAGTGTTGGTCACGTTGCCGCTGATGCTGTTGCTGTATTTTTTAATTCCATTATTGTATTCAGGGATGAATAAGGCAACCAGAAAAGACATAAAAACTATACATGCCCCAAATAAAAACGGTGGGCCTGGGATGAGCGCGCCCTGATGGGTGTAGGAAACAAGTGGAGATGAAGAATTTGGTTAGTCTTTTCAATGCAGCATTAGTGCTGGATGACCTCACAACACCCACAGCACCTCCAAGTGAATCATTTCCTCCTGAGCAAATGCCTCACTAAGTGCCCAGGCAAACTCTCCCAGCTCCCGGAGTCTAGAATATGACAGAGGGCAACTACTCACTGCTTTTCCATCCACTTCTCAGGAGTTGAACCCAAACCTATGAGTAACAGGTGTTTATCTCTAATCTTACCCTATGAGCTCAGATCATCCATTCTGTACATGAACATTAATTCCAATTTTGTACAGACATATATATTAAATGAAAAAAAAAAAAACTCTAGTTCAATTTCTAGGTGGAACTGTAGGTTAGTTTATTTGGCATGGGCTTTACCAGAAGAATGAATTCTGATCAGAGTTATTGTGTAAGTGAGAACAGAATCTGAACAGAATTAAGACAAATCTTTTATATATTAAAACACCGAAATAATACCTCCCCAGGAAGCAATGAACATAGCACTCACCACTGTCAAATCCTATACAGTTGTCCCTCGCCACTTCGCACTTTGATGTTCATGGCTTCACTCTATCACGGTTTTTTCAAATAGGGTATAGGGTATAGTGTATAGGGTATAGGGTAGGGTAGGGTATGGTATGGTATTTGAAAAAACCGTAAGAGTGAAGCCGCAAACGCCGAAGCACAAAGTGGCGAGGGACGACTGTATAAAGAATCCTATTTCACGGAAATTCATTTATCACAGTAGAGTCTGGAACTGATTAACCATGATAAACGAGGGTCGACTGTAGTCTTATCATATAAATAAGGATACTCTCCAAATTTAATGTCAGGGGATTTTGCTATAGTCAGACATAATCACTGTTTAAAAACTAGGCTTATTACCAAATTACCTGCAAAGCAGCATTGTTAGAATTCAATTCCGGTCCCAACTCAGCGAGCTCCACATGGAACATGTAGAATATGAAGCCATACAGTGCTGGCCCCAGGCCATTACAGAGTCCTCTTATCCCAGTTATGATCCCCTGGGCAAATCCTACATCAGAACAAAGAAGGAAGCCAGTTTTCTCTGGAAAGCATGTCAAGACTGGGGACCTAACAGAACTTTCTTACAAACTATGATGTGCTGACTCAAGGGGACTAGGTAGTCCATGCTGAGGAGAGTGGGTCGGGTAGCTTAACCATCATATTTTCATTTACTGCACAAATGTATTCTTGATTTTACTATATCCTTTCAATGTTGACATTCTGTGCCCTGCCATCCATAAGGAGAAAAAATGACACTGAGGTTTCTGAAATCCTTTAGAGATGAATTTCCCCCATAACAGCTGGATCTTTCTAAAAATAGGAAATACTACAATAAAAAACTTTAATATTCTCCATTTATAGACAATTTTAATTTTTCTATGAATTAAGATTTTCCTGCTCTACTCATTTAATGGTGATTTTACAATAAAAATCTGCCGCCCTGGCCAGTTTTGCTCAGTGGTTAAAGCGTCGACCCGTGGACCGGAGAGTCCCGGGTTTGATTCCCGCTAAGGGCAGGTACCTCAGTTGCAGTGTGTCCCCGGCCCAGGTTGGGGTTGTGTGGGTGGCAACCACTCGATGGGTCTCTCTCACATTGATGTTTCTCTCCCACCCACCCCTTTTCCTTCCCGCTCTATCTGAAGATAAATGCAAAAATGTCCTTAGGTAAGGATAAAAAATAAAAATAAAAATAAAAGTAAATAAAAATCTGCCCTTTGCTTCTGCAGCCCTGTCCATGTGAACCCACCACAGTCCTGGTGCTGTGTGGTCCCAGCCCCTCCCTACCCCTTGCCTAGGCAGACTCTGTTCTTTAAGGTGACTTTCACATTTCTGATACAGCCTCCCGCAGACCTGCATTGAAATATCCCATAAGTGCCAATTTCTAGATATCTCTGGTTTATTTTTAGAAAGAGGGGAAGGGAGACATAGAAACATCAATGTGAGAAACATTAATCAACTGCCTCCTGCACACCCCCTACTGGGGATCAAGTCTGCAACCTGAGCATGTGCCTGACCAGGAATCGAACTGGTGACCTCTTGGTGCATGGGACTACGCTTAATCCCCTAAGCCACACCAGCCGGGCTAGATATCTCTTGTTTCTAACAAGACAGATAAAAATTAGCCTGAATTGTATGAAATGCATGTTTCTGTAGGTCAAAAATGGTCAAAGATAATTCAGCCTAATACAATGCGTTATAATAATCTTGTAGGTTGACCTCTAGAAACATCTGTACTAATACATATCAGCATAAAAAGAGCCAAGGAGAATTTATGAAAGACAGGCCAGTGTCTGTCAGACACCAAGCAGTGCCCATCTCCAGACGGCACACCCTTGCTCATCACAAGCCCTCTCCAAGGGTGTGCAGCCAGCTGGGTTTCCATAGCAGGGGACACAGAATTTGTGGTCAAATGAAACCATTTTAAATACGTTTTTATTCCTTTTTTTTTTTTATTGTTGTTTAGAGAGAATGGAAGAAAGAAAGAAAGAGACAGAAAAATAGATCAGCTGCCTCATGCTCGCCCCCTACTGGGGATCAAGCTTGCAACCCAGGCATGTGCCCTGACTGGGAATTGAACTGGGACCTCTCAGTCCATGGGATGATGCTCAATTCACTGAGCCACGCTGGCCAGACAAGTGACACTGTTTTAAAATGTGGATATGAATAAGATGGCTAACTTCTGATGTGGAAAAATAAATGCAATAAATAAACTATCTTTTCCAATATAATTTTTTATCAAAAAGTTTTAAAGGGCTCTAAGGCATTTAAATTTTTTCCTTCTAAAATTTACTACTTCCTGACTATAGTAAGGTGAGTCATTAAAAGATGAAGAAGGAAAAGGATTACTTCTGGCAGTGGGAAATGCCTAATGGTGAAGCCAGAGGCACAGGAAGGATCAAGTCAGTCTGCAAGCACTTCCCACACAGTCATTCTAACATTGCCCCATATTCTGCACTGCACAGATTTATTCTTTACCCTCTCAGAGAATCATTTCCTAAATTCAGCCAATGGTCTTAGAGCAATTCCAAATGAAAGAAATTTTAGTAATTAAATAAAAAGCTCATTGTTTTACTAACTAGTCTGTCATTATTTAACAGACATCAGTTAAAATGTGATTATATCTAGTTAATTCTGATGGTATCAGAACTGATGAGTCCACATGTTAAAAACATGAGTATAATTTCAGAGCGGGAAGGAAAGCAAGCAGGTGTGATCATAGAAAAGGGACCACACAGACGTGGAGAGAGGCCCAGAGCTGCTCATGTTTCCGGCAGGCATGTCTCAGCTGGAGGAGGACACAGAAAGGGGCCAGTGATCTTACCTTGCTGATCTGACTCTGCATTCTGAGAGACGAGGGCACTGACTGCCGGAAACGTGATGCTGGACATGGCGGCCACAATACCTGCTGCCCACATCATCCTGCAACGACAGGCCAGGCTTCAGTCAGTGTCGGGCCAGCCCCAAGGAGCTCGCTGCTCAGAGTACAACCAGTGGTGAAAGTATAAAATGCTGTTTTCTCATGTTAAGTTGTATCTACTTTTTCCTCTTTACTAACAGTTTTTTTCTTAAACCTGGAGAGTTATATGTCATTTCACAGGCTGAGAAACTTTCATTCATTTATTTTATTTCACCTCTTTCAAAATCTGTTTTTCTTTTTGACTTCCCTATTACCACCTTCAGATGTAAACTCAATCAGGATTTCCTGTTTCTATAAATACATTCTCCCATCCATTTTCCACTTTTCCTTTGTCATTCTCAAAGGCTCACCTTCACATGCCCTTGAGTTGCTCATTTTGCTGCCAATGAAAAAAAACAAGCCCTGAAGTGCATGATGACATCCTGCAGACTCCCAAACCTGCTTCCTTAAGTGTAAGTGTGAGGAAGGTGAGGCCCCAACTGGGCTTAAACCCTGCCTGGCCAGACTTCCTTGGGGATGCTGACAAGCACATTCTTAAAAGGAAAAGCCCTTCAGGTTGCCAGAATCTTTTTAACAGCATGAACTTGACTGACTCAGTGACCGAAAAAAGCTCATAGGACTCAAATCTTAAAGAACAAAAATTATCTACTGACCACTAAAGCATTTCTAGTGTCTGTAAATTATGTCATGTATGTAAAGTGAAGACTAACTCTAATATTTGAAAGAGATATGAACTCTGGTATTTGGCAACCAGGCACATGGGGAAACTCAACACAACAAAATAGCACTCGGGATTCTTTTATTTCTTCTGATTCCAGGGCTCATTCTGACATTCCAGTGTATGGGAGCATAACATGTTAGCAATAATAACTACCTCAGGATACACATGCTGCTGGAGGGGATTGTAGAGTCAATCTAACTCAAATGCTGTCACAAAGGTCATGTCACTGCCCAAGGTCACTCAACTAATCACAGCAAGGAACTCTGCTATCATTTTTCTTGCCTTTTAGTATATGTGATGTCCCTAAAAACTGACAAATGTATTTAAAAGGTAGACATAAAGTTTTTGGAGGTGCTGGAGGAAGAAGCACACATATTTAATTAATAACAACCCACTGAAAGCCATGGAGGTGAAGACCATCTTTACCTAGCTCCAGCCTTCCCCAAGTGAAGTTTAAAGAGTTGTTGGAATGTTGAATACACCTCACCAGTAAAATAACCCTGCTTCTTTCACATCACAGTCAGTCAACTCAAGCTCCTCTAAAAGATTCATCTTTCTGCTAGTTCGTGAGAATTTATGAGAAAGGCTTACCAGGCCTGAGATCCAAAACCATACCAGGCTAACTGGAACATCTGGAAACCCAAGCCAAGGAGGACGGTGTTCTTATTCCCTAATGATCTCATCAAGATGGTAAGAAAGACTGTCTGCAAAGCAAAGGAGAAAATCCTGAGAAACACACAGATTTGATACAAGCTCTGTGAGAAGCCCAGTAATGAGAGCCAGGGGCTGCCTGAGCTGAGACCCTGGAGACCATGTGGCACTGATGTAGCTCTAAAGGGATGGAGCTTCAGCAGCTCTTGAACTGACCTAGGGCTCAGGGCCTACGATCTCCTCCCCCAGAAAAGTTATCACAGCCATTTATTAGCTGTCATGGTTGAGAGGCACATGGACTCAGTCTCTTCTGAGAAACACAATTACTTCACAACCAGTGATCAGCAAATCCCACTGAGTATCTGCAGAGTATGTGGGACTTTGCTGGAGGTGAGCAGTTTCACAAAATTAGACTGATGTAAATTTGATTTTAACAAATATATACTCTAAGAACTAGTTGAGATAGTCTGAAAAGGCACAGAATAAAAGGTGAGTCCGGGGTTAACAGACTAACTAGAGTTAACATAAAAAACCAAGTCATGAGCAACTTAAAAGTGTAACATATTTAGTCCTGGCCAGTTTGGCTCAGCGGTTAGAGCGCCGGCCTGCAGTCCAGAGAGACCCGGGTTCAGTTCCTGCTAAGGGCGCGTATTTCAGTTGCAGTTTGTCCCCGGCCCTGGTTGGTCGTGCGGGTGGCAACCACTTGATGTGTCCCTTTCACGTTGATGTCTCTCTCTCTCTCTCTCTCTTCCTTTCTCTCCCTCCCACACTATCTGAACAAAAAATGAAAAAATGTCTTCGGGTGAGGATAAAAAAGAAAGTGTAACATATTCACATTTATGATACAACTTGCTTGGCCTTGATGCATTCCTGTGCCCCTTGTCAGTTCCAACATCTGGGCCGACAGCCCTGCAGTTTTCTCAGCTCTCCCGAGCTGTCACAGCAGAGCACTGCACTTGGCCTAGCATGCTGTACAGCAGTAAGTAGTTGTTTTAGGGAAACAGCCTCTAGAAGTCCCATATGACAGTGGATGCATGTCCGTGAATTAATTTAAAGTGCACCCTGTCTTTTGTGATCCTGTATTTTTAACAGATGATGAAATGCTTGAAGCTCTTTACTCATTACACGTATTCTAATACACTGATTTGCCACATTTCTTCAGTCCTGGGGACAGCAGAGGTTGGAACAGTTGATTTTCATTTCTACTGTTCACTTCTACTTACTTTTCAACATTAAAATAATATCGTAACATTTTCCTGGTTAAGTAAATTTTTTGATATCAGGAGTTAGTTAAATTATAGTTGATGGCTAGGAAAGCAAATTTTTATTTGCTGATAGACCCAGTAGAGGTAACAACAAATATTCTAAAAAGTACTGAAAGGAGGTATTAAATTCCCCCTAAATCCCAATCTGAACATTCTATTGTAAATGGAATGGTTCTGAAGACCATACACATGTCAGTTTATTGGGCTTGCTATGGTACCATAAATGCACAAGATGTTGCCATAGGGAAGAAGGAGACTCAAGTAGGGTGAGTAGATATTTGAGAACACTTCTTCGCAGCTTCCTGTGAACCTACAGTTATTTCAGAATAAAAATGTTAAAAAGAGAGATGAGTAAAATGACACTCACCTGAGCCACAATAGATAGAATTCCTACCACAGCTATGAATGCTGCAATTTTAACAGATCCAAAACCTATGACCTGTGGAAGGGGGGGGGGGGGGCACTATTGTTAATATAGATATTATAAAAATAAGAAATGTTATGTTCTAGTAAAGCTATAGGACAAAACAGCTGGGAAAAGTTCATAAAACCTTGAAAATGGCAAATTAAGGCAGTGCTGAAAGTTGAACCTATTTAACCAGTAATTTATATCTACATCTGATTTCAAAATCAAAACACAAAACAATACAAGCATGCACATAACTTAATTTGACAAATACTTTAAAGATTGCTTTCGATTACAGGCCTATCTATTATTTCATATTCCTTCCCATCCCCAACCTACCAAAAAATAAATGTGTCATCAAACATTAGAGAAAATGTAAAGAAAATAACTTGACCTTTGATATATAATCCGGAACTGACTCACTGGCAAATTCCATGGCTCTCAAATTTGGGTGCAAATTGAATTCAGGTGGGACATAGAGAAGGAAGGAGGGAGGGAAGGAGAGGGTGGGGAACAAGGAGACACTGCAGCCCACTGGAGACCAGCTGAGTCAGAGCCTCTGGACTAGACACGGGTATGCTTCAGAAAGCTTCCATGGTGATTCCAATCAATAGCCAATAATTTCTAAGCCTCTTAACCTTAACAGCTCTGAAATGCCTAAAACTATTAGTTAAAAAGTTAAATTATTTCCCCCTCTATTAAAATTCTATGGGATTCAGAAAAGGACTTTATACCAAAACAGAATAACAATGAAATAAAAAATCTAAACAGACTGATTACTAGCAAGGAGTTTCAACCAGTAATAAAAAAATCTCCCAATAAACAAGTCTAGGACCAGATGGGACCAATGGTGAATTCAATCAAACATTGAAAGAGGAATTAATACCAATCTTTAAACTCTCTTTGAAAAAACAGTACAGTGAAGAACTCTTCCAAATACATTTTACAGGACCAGCATTATCCTGATACCAAAACCAGACACAACGCCACAAAAAAAGAAAATTACAGGCTAATATTTGTGAAGAACACAGATGCAGAAATGTTCACAAAAGTAGCAGCAAACTGAATTCAATGGTACATTGAAAAAAACACCATACACTATGATCAAACAAGATTTATATCAGAGAGGCAAGGATAGGTCAACATCTGCAAATCAGTCAATATGACATATCACATTAATAAAATGAAGGATAAAAATCATATGATCATCTCAATAGATGCAAAGCATCTGGACAAAACTCAACATCCATTTATGATGAAAACACAATAAAGCGGGTATAGAGGAAAAGTACCCCAACATAATAAAGACACTGTGTAACAAGACCACACACACACACACACACACACCTTTTCCAGGAACAAGTCAAGGATGTTCACTTTTGCCACTTGTATTCAATATAGTATTGGAAGACTTAGCAGCAGCAAAGAGACAAGAAAAAGACATAAAATGCATCCACATAAAAAATGAAGAAGTAAAACTGTCACTATCTGTAGAAGGCATGATAGCATATTTAGAAAACACTCAAGACTCCATTAAAAAAACTGTTAGAACACATACACAAATTCAGTAAAGTTGCAGAATACAAAACCAATATACAAAAATCTGTTGCCTACTAAAAATCTGTTATATACTAACAACAAAGTAACAGAAAGAGATGAAGAAAATAATCCCATTTATAACCACAACAAAAGAATATAATACCTAGGAACAGTCTTAACAAAGGAGGTGAAAATTGTACTGTGTACTCTGAAAACTACAAGACATTATTGAAGGAAATTGAAGACAAAATAAATGGAAAGATATTCTGTGCTTGTGGATTGGAAGAATTAACATTGTTAAAATGGCCCTATAACCTGAAGCAATATACAGATTTAATGCCATTTTTATCAAAGTTCCAATGGCATCTTTTCACAGAAATAGAACAACAACAAAAAAAATCCTCAAATTTGTATGGAACCATAAAAGACCTGGGATAGCCAAAGTAATCCTGAGGAAAAAGCCCAAGGTACCACGCTCCCTGACTTCAAATTATAACACTGCAGAAAAACACACACACAGACTAATGGACAGAACTGAAAGCCTAGAAGTACACTCATACCTATATTGGCAACTACTTTTTAACAAAGGAGCCAAAAATATACAATGGAGAAAGGAGAGTCAGTCTCTTCAATAAAAGGTGTTGGGAAAATTGGAACACCACATGCAATAGAATGAAACTAGATTGCTATCTGCCATCATACACAAAAGTTAACTCAAAATGGGATTCAAGACTTGAATATAAGACTTGAAATAATTAAACGTGTGATAGAAAACAAACACAGGCACTAAACTTATGGACCTTTGATCTCAGATGGATTTTTGTGAACCTGACCCTAAAGGCAAGGGAAGCTAAAAAAACACACCAAAAGAATAAATGAATGGGACCATTTCAAACTAAAAAGCTTCTGTACTGCAAAAGAAACCATCAACAAAACAAAAAGGCAAGCAACCGAATGAAAGCAGATATTTGCAAATGATACCTTTAATGAGGTGCTAGTATCTAAAAATATATAAAGAACTCATAAATACAACTCAAAAACATAAAAAAACAATGCAATTAAAAAATGAGAGGAGGATATGAATAGACACCTTTCCACGGAAAACACAGATAGCTAACAGGTACGTGAAAAAATGATCAATTACAAGAAAAATGAGTAACAAAACCACAACGAGATACCACCTCAATACTGTCAGAATGGCTATTATCAAAAAGGAAAGAATTATGCCTTGGCAGGTGTGGGTCAGTGACTGGAGTGTCATCCCATACACCAAAAGGTTGTGGGTTTGATTCCTGGTCAGGGCACATACCTAGGTTACGGGTTCGATATCTAGGTTGCAGGATCAATTCCCAGTTGGGGAATGTATGAAAGGTAACCAATTGATGCTCTCTTTCTCTCTCTCACACCCCCCCCCCCCAAATCAATAAGCATATCCTTGGGTGAAAATTAAAAAAAAAAAAAAAAAAAAGGAAATTAACAAGCATAGGGAGGATGATAAAAAACCAAAACAGGCCCTGGCCGGTCTGGCTCAGAGATTAGAATGTTGGCCCACGGACCGGAGAGTCCTGGGTTCGGTTCCGGTTAAGGGCACGTATCTCGCTTGCAGTTTGTCCCCAGCTCTGGTTGGGGTTGTGTGGGTGGCAACCACTCGATGTGTCCCTCTCACATCGATGCTTCTCTCTCTCTCTCCCTCCCGCTCTATCTGAAGATGAATGCAAAAATGTCCTCAAGAGGAAAAAAAAACAAACAAAAAAACCCCCCAAAACAGAAGACTTGTGTACTATTAGTGGGAATGTAAATTGTTGCAGTGTGATGGTTCCTCAAAAAATTAAAAATAGAACTACACCCCAGCAGTATCTACCTGAAAAATTTAAAAACACTTATTCATAAAAATGTATGAACCCCATATTCATTGCAGCATTATTCACAATAGCCAAGAATGGAACAAACTAAGTGTTCTTTGACAAATGACTGAATAAAAAAGATGTGGTACATATGAAAAAATGGAATACTACTCAGCCATAAAAAAGATAAAATATTGTCATTTGGGACAGTATGAATGGATCTTGAGAGTACTATGTGTAAGTGAAATAAGTCAGACATAAAAGGATAAGAATTGTATGATGTCACTCATATGTGGGATATAAGACAAAAAGCAACAGATGGACAAACAAAAATAATAAAAAAAGAAAACATCTCACTGATATAGACAACAGAATGGTGGTTACCAGAGGGGAATATAGATTGGGGACAAGAAAGAGGGTAAAGGGGGTCAAATACATGGTGATAAAAGGAGACTAGGCTTTGGGTGGTGAGCACAATAAAGTTGTACATCTGAAATTTATATGACGTTATTAACCAATGTTCCTCTAATAGATTTAATAAAAAAGTAAATAAAATCAAATACCTAAGGGGAAAAAAATCAGTTGCATTTCTTTGCACTAATAATGAATTATCAGAAAGATAAATTAATTCCATTTTCAAGTACATCAAAAAAAAATAAATTACATAAGAAACTGAACCAAGGAAGAGAAAGACATGTATATTTAAAATTATAAGATATTAATGAACAAAATTAAAAATGATACAAACAAACACAAAAGATATTCCATGCTTATGGATTGAAATAATAAATATGTTAAAATTCCCATTCTCTACTCAAAGAAATATATAAAAATCAATACATCCCTATAAAAATTCCAGTTATATTTTCCCAGAAACAGAAGAAACAATCCTAAAATCTGTAAGGAATCACAAAAGAACCTGAATAGACAAAGCAACCTTGAGAAAGAAGAACAAAGCTGGAAGCACCATACTCCCTAATTTTCAAATTATATTACAAAGTTAGAGTAATTAAAACAAAGTAGGCTTCCGGTCAAGATGGCAGCGTAGGTAACCGCGGTATCGCGTCCTCCCACAACCACATCAAAGTTACAACTAAACTACAGAACAACCATCATTCAAAACCGCCGCAAATCAAGCTGAATGGAAGTCCTACAACTATGGAATTAAAGCAGCAGCCACATCCAGACTGGTAGGAGGGGCGGCGGCTGCGGTGGAGGCGGCGGTGTGTCGGGCTGGTCCCACACCCAAGTGTGGCGGATAAAAATCAGGAGGCTCCCGCGGCTGGGAAGGTCCTTCCTGAGGACTGAGGGGTCCCCGTCCCACACCAGATGCCCCGCTCAGGGTTCCAGTGCCAGGAAGAGAAGTCCCCATAAATTATGGCTGGAAAAACCAGCAGGAACTGAGGCTCAGGGAGGCTGAGGTGGCTGGAGCCCCAGGCAGCTCTTTAAAGGGCCCGCACACGGACTTACTGGACTCTCTCCCTCTAAGCTGGGAGGGGAGGCAGCTCCACGGGCGCCAGAGACATACAGGGAAGAACTGAGCTGTTTGGCACTGGAGCGAGGGCTGGAGAGGGGGCTTTCTTGGGGACAAACGTGCTGTAAGAGGCCTTTGTTCCTTTGGTGAGCCCTTCCCGGGGCGGCAGACAGTCT